AGGAGCCTACCTAACATCATAAAGGTTACATATGAAAAACCCAAAGCCAACCTCACAGCAAATGGAGAAAAACTGAAAGCATTTTCTTTAAAATCTGGAACAGGACAGGATGTCCACTGTCACCACTCCTTTTTAATATAGTGCTAGAAATTCTAGCCAGAACAATTATGCAAGAGAAGGAAATTAAAAGGATAAAAATAAGAAAGGAAGAAGTCAAATTATCACTATTTGATGATATGATTCTATACCTAGAAGATCTAAAAAAATGTCACCCAAAGACTTCTAGAGCTAATAAACAATTCGGCAAGATAGCAAGTTACAAAATCAACATATAAAAAAACAAAAGCTTTCCTATACACCAACAATGAATCTGCTAAAAAAAAAAAGAGGAAAAACAAATCCATTCACAATAGCCTCAACAAATCATAATACCTAGAAATAAATCCAGCCAAGGAGATGAAAACCTCTACAAGGAAAACTATAGAAAATTGAAAAAAATAAATTAAAGAAGACCTCGGAGAATAGAAAGACCTTCTATGTTCACGGATAGGAAGAATTAATATTAAAATGACCATAGTACCAAAAGCAGTATACAGAGTCAAAGCAGTCATCATGAAGACACCAGTGACATTCTTCATAGAACTAGGGGGAAAAAAAAGCCCTAAAATTCATTTGAATGAATAAAAGACCCAGAATCACCAAAGCAATTCTAAGTCAAAAGCCCTGAAGGCATCAACATATCTGACTTCAAATTATTCTACAGAGCTATTGTTTTAGTCAGCTTTTTTGCTGCTGTGACCAAGACTTGACAAGAATAATTTGAGGAGGAAAAACTTATTTGGGGACTCAGAAGTCTCAGTCCATAGATAGCTAGCCTCATTGCTCTGGGCTCTATTGAGGCAGAACATCATTCTAGAAAGCTAAGGTGGGGTAAATAGCTGTGAACATGGCACTAAGAAGCGGGTGAGGAGGGAGGGGGTGGGGTGGGGGAATGAGCGGTTCAACAAGGACAATATATATATATAACAAAGGCATGTGCCCAGGCCACATCCTACCTGCCTACAGTTATTACCCAGTTAATAACTATTAGAGGGATTAACAAATTGATTAGACTAAGGTTCTCATAATCTGATCATTTCACCTCTAAAATTTTTTTCATTGTCTCTTACTTGGGCTTTTGGGGGACACCTCATATCTAAATCGTAACAGCTATCATAACAACAACTGCATGGTACTGGCATAAAACCAGACACAGAGACCAGCCTTACAGAAAAGAAGAGACAGAGACAAACCCATACACTTGAATTCCATCTGAAACTGGACAAAGTTGCCAAAAACATACATTGGAGAACAGACAGCCTTTTTAACAAATGGTGCTGAGACAACTGGTTATCCATATGAATGAAATTAGGTACTATCTTTCATCCTGCACAAAAATCAACTGAAAATGAGTCAAAGACAGAAATTAATTTACTAACTGTAAATTAGTATAACCACTAGAGAAATCAAAACCACCATATAACCCAGCCATACCACTCCTTGGTATTTATACTAAAGAATTCAAGCATCATACTACAGTGAAACTCATAGAAGAAAATGCAGGATCAATAGTCCAGCACCTAGGCACAGGCAAAACTGTCTCAATAAGCTCAGAAAATAATACCAAGAATTAATAAATGTGATGAAATCAAATTTAAAACTTCTGCAGAGCAAAGAAAATACCTAGGTGTCCAACAATAGATGAATGGACGTGGTGTATATACAAAACAGTATTCTGATTAGTCACAAAGAATGAAATTATGCAACTGGAGAACATCATGCTAAGTCAAAAAAGCCCGACTCAGAAAGTCAAGAGTCCAATGTTTTCTCTCAATTTTGTAAGCTAGAAAGAAATAAGGAAAAAAAGGGAGGGGGTTTATAAAAACAGAAGGGGCTAGTTGTTGTTGTTGTTGGTGGGAAGTATATGATACCTCATGCCATCTATTTCTCTGAGACATTAACTCCAGTCAAACTTGTCCTCTAATTAAAAGCTACCTTCCACCAAAATCAATGATATTTGAATCCCAGTTTATCTAGATACTTCATAGCTCTTAAAACCAATGTGAGTTGTTAAAAGGAAAGGTTGATAACGGGGCATGTGGGAATAGGATTTTATTTTTAACTTAATTCAGGGCGTAGATAAATTTAAAGCGATATTTTGATAGTGGGTTTTTTTGTTGTTGTTATTGTTTTTGGTTTTTTGGGGAGTACCAGTGATTGAACCCAGCGGGGCTTAACCACTGAGCCAAATCCCCAGCCCATTTATTTTATTTTATTATTTTTCTTTTGAGATAGGGCTTCACTGAGTTGCTTAGTGCCTTGCTATGTTATTGAGGATGGCTTTGAACTTGTGATCCTTCTGCCTCAGTCTCCTAAGCCACTGGGATTATAGGCCACTGTGCCTGGATGATGGTGTTTTTAATAATGCCTTTTATACTGTCATTTTGAAATAATGTCAAACTATAGAAGAGTTGTACGTGTAGTACAAAAACTCTCATATACCCTTTACTCAGGTACATCAACTGTAAAAACGTTTTGCCCCAACTATTGGTGTCTCTCTCTTCTTACCTATCTACCTACATACACACATACCTGCTTATCATTTAACATCATATATATATTGTTTCTGAATAATTTGAGATTTCATTGCAGAATGTACTCATTTACCTCAAATACTTCAGCATCTATTTCCAAAGAACAGGATGTTCTCCAATAGAATGATCAAACTCAGAAATTTAACATTGATAAAATACTATTTTCTGATATCTAATCATATTAAAAAATTGCCAGTTTTTCAAGTAATACCCTTTATGGCAATCTCTCCCTCCCTATCCCACCTCTAAGTCTGATAATCAAGATTCATGGACTGTTTTAGTTGTCAAGTTACTTTAATCTCCTTTAACCTTTGTCTTTCATGACATCTACATTTTTGAAAATGCCAGTTTTGAAAATGTCCTTCAATTTAAGTTTGTCTAATGTTTGCATTTAGATTATGTGTTGGAGTATAATTATGACTTTAGATTTACATGGTCTACCACACCCTTCTACCCAACCGCCATTGTTTCATAAACAGCTTTATGTTAGAATGAGCTCATTTGAGAAACGAATTCATTTTGAGGCATGACTGAAAACACCCCTGACTCAAAAACCTGCCAGGGATCACTGTATTTTAAAAGCAAAATTTCTTATCTAAAGATACAATACAAAACAAACATTTTTTCTTCAGTCACAAAGCAAATACTCTGTGTGTGTGTGTGTGTGTGTGTGTGTGTGTGTTTCTGGAAATTGAATCCCTAAGTTTTGCATGTGCTAGGCATGTGCTCAACCACTGAGCTACATCCCAGGCTAAGCATATACTTTTAATTGCAAGTGTAGTCTGCTTCTTATATAGACAACTCTATGTATGTTTCAAGATGATAGATGATGGAATTTTTACTTGAAGTTATTTTGAGAAAGGACTTTACTACAAAACATTATAACAATAACCTGCTTTCTACAACAGACTCAGTGATTGATGTATTAAACTTGTTAATCCATTATTAGTGTGTCTCATTTTACCTGAGGCTTATATATCACAGAGCAAGGCCTCCCAAGAGGCTAGATTTAAGAACTGCTTAAGTTTTTAATTGCAATCAAAGCTAGGTTGGTTTTGGGCAGTTGGGAATTTGTGAGGGCACCAAGTACACTGTTCACTGTGAACGTGACAAAATAAAGAAGAAGAGTCAGAAAGGGAAAAGGGATTCAAACACTAACTTCATCTGTCTTTGAGTTTGCCCAAAAATAGCCCTTTTCTGGTATGTCCCCACTAACCAAAAAAGAAGGCAGGTGAGGTTTCTTTCAAAATACAGTTTCTGGATTAGAGTGTTTAAATTTGTTTTTATTTAAACCTGTAAATTTCGAGTAAATATCTGTTCTTATAAATACTATTTGCCATGAAGTGAGTGAAAGAAATATTTTTCTTCTTTTATCATTCAATATAGCGAGGAAGCACAGTATAATTTAAAAAAAAATCTCTCTCCTTTTCCCAGGCATCCATTCCCAGAATTCTATTGTCTTGTATTATTTCTTTTTTACTTTGTATCAATAGTAGCAGCAGTTCTTGAGAGGAACAAGTAAGTCATTGGCCATATATGCAAAGCACAAGTTCCTACAGGCAAGATGAGTGGCACAAACAAGAGGTGATATTTTTCAGTTTTTTTTTTAAAAAAAAAACAGCCATCAATGAATGCAATCTGATTCATTTCTCAAATTGCACCTGAGAACACAAATTTCCATCACTGAGTGACCTTTGTCTGCAGAGTTCCTTTAATCAAGGCATTGAACATAGGTCTGTGTTGAAAGTTTGAGGAGAAATTTTTGAACTAGTGTTTATATTATGACAACAAAAGAAACAGTAAGATACTTATAAAATGAAACATCATTTGCTTAAAAGTTAACATTAAGGTAAATTTGGAAACTTCAGTTAAAAATAATTATTTGAGCTAGATAATTCAGTTTATGATTATAAAGTATTATCTATAGTCCGATTCCCCAGACCTTTTTTTTTTTGCTTTAATCTTTATAATTTCTTTTAAAGTTCAATTTGTTGCACCTTGCAAACTTCACTAATGAACATAAAAAAGAGGATCTTCATGTCTTCATTTGGTTCATAATTATTCCTTTTTAAATACTCTTCACTCTAATTTAGAAGAGGAGGCTAATTCAGTTGGAATCTTGGTATGAATAGGAATTATTGGAACAGCCCATTTGAAGATTTTGTTTTCATTAATTTCCTGTAGGTTAATAATGATGTAGTTACTGTCCTATTTTGCAAACAAAACAACCCAAATCCAATATCTTCATTGATGACAATTTCTGGTCAATATTATTTAGGTTACTTCATCTTCTCATTCAATAATTTTAGTTTGGAAAGAGATAGCAAAAATATTTTCATCTTTTTGGAGGCATTGGCTCTTTTTGCTTCAGTATATTTTTGCTTCTCTTTTCTCTCTGCTTTCTTCAGATGAACTTTCACTCGGGAGATTTCTTCCAAGGAAATATCTACGAGAATTAAGACGACTGTGTGGCCAGGGAAATGGCTGGAAGTGGAAACGGTGGTTGCATCTTGGAGGGAGAACATGTCTGTTTTGAAACCCAGGGTAGATTCTAGGCCTTCTTGGTGTAATACGACTGAAGGGATATTTGGGTGTCCTAGTAATGGGCTGGACCCTTGTTGTTGGATTCCTCGTGGTAGGTGGAGGGGTGAGTGTGAAGATCTGGCAGTCTGTAGGGTTTATATGTTGTGAGCCTCCTGGTGGAATGACAACCTCTTCTTGTCCTGTAAGGAGGAAAATAGGAGTCAGAAAACAGACCTGGTAACAGAAACAGAAGCAAGATAGATCCTTGAATGTGGGTGCAGGGGAGAAAGATAGAACAAGAAATAGAGATGTCTTGGAGCATGTTGGAAACAAGGTAAATAAAATGAAATGTGAGTACACCTTATAATCCAGCATTTCCACTCTATGGAATTGACCCAAATTTTTATTTGCAAAAGTTTGCAAAAACAAACAGACAAAAAACAAAAAAACAAACTAGTTCAAGGATGTTCATAGCAAACTTTTTCATTATAGCCTAAACTTGGAAATAATCCAGGTGTCCATCAATAGAAAGGTTAAATAAATTGTGTATATTCATACAATGAAAAGTATTCATTGTGGAAAAGGGAAATCTACTAATGTGCACAGTAATCATGGATATTATGGTAAGCAAAAGAAGTTGGACACAAAAGAGGATACATATTGCAAAAGAATACAGCAAGTGAAACTGTGGTAAAAGAGTCAAATAATATTGAGCTCAGGGTTAGGGTAGGAATTGTTTAGTGGAAAGAGTAACCAGCAAACTCTCAAAATGTTCTGTATCTCAATCTGGGTGGTTTTCTAAAAGGAGCTATCTACGTCTCACACATATACACACATACATATAGATGTGTAAGTATCCACACACATATAAATCTCTATACATGATGTATGTTTGCACACATACACATATATGTATGTATATATAAAATATAATAAGCTATAACTTTAAGATTTGTGGAATTTATTAGGTGTAAATTATAACAAAGAAAATTCATGAGGAAAAAATTTTTTAATGTTAAGAATATAAAAATAACATTAAAATTTCTTTTTCCCTGCTCAGTCAGTAAAGTCATTCCTTAGGAAGGGAGGGGCATCTATAAGCAGCAGAAGAAAGAGTGCTGAGGACCAGGACACAAATTCATTTTTAAGAAGAAATGTGGTTAGGTTCCAGCTTCAAGGTCTTCCCTTGACTAAATCACCCATCCAAGTTGGCAGTATAAAGGAAGTTTTCCTGTAGTGAATTGTTTCTTCACTCCTGCAGTTGCTCACCCACACAGGCCTGGGAAGGAATGCCAGGCATGGGTGATGGAAACATGAACCACCACAGGAAGCTGAGAGTGCAGATGCATTTAAGAACTAGATTCCCTGGTTTCTGGGCTGTAGTGGATATGCTTACATAGTTCTTGTGCCCATAGTTCCTTCCAAATATTGTCTTATCTACAACCTCTGGAATGGTCCGTCTTTCACACCTTCTGACTATGGATGATTGGATTGTGGATAGACCCTAAACTAATTTATTGGCTAGTCAATGATGAATTGGATCCTCCCTTGAGAATTAATTATAGCAAAAAAGACATAGTGAAAGCTGTTACTGGAAGGCAGGGGCTGGAGTGTCAGGCTTTGGACAGATGAATGATGAGAAGCATAGATGCCAGGATGGATACAGAAGCAGAGAACTGGGGAAGGCAAGAGAGAGAGAGAGAGAGAGAGAGAGAGAGAGAGAGAGAGAGAGAGAGAGAGAGAGAGAGACTATATGGTAACAGTGCTTGCTGATGGGACTAGCCTTGGTTCTTGACTTTCCAGGGTTGGTCCCTCTTAGGCTCAGCTGATTATACTTAAGGTTCTTGAAGATATCCTTATAATGATCACTCCACCTCCAACTCTATTCTCTCTGTTTTATTTATTTTTTGGTACTGGGGAGTGAACCAGGATCTTGCATGTGCTCATGCTCTACTACTGAACTCTTGCTCTACTCTTTTTACAACTAGCTTGAATGGGTATCCATTCCTTGAATAAAATGCCAACCCTTTCCCCATACCCAGTCAGGATACTGAGTTGTGATCCTGTGATGAAATTAGACTAACAAACACACTTTGAGCTTCATAAGATGATGAAACCCCACATTACTCTTTGTGATAAGTTTTGAATCTTTGTGACATGAAAACTTTCTACCCAGAATCTAGTCAGCAGGGGAGACGCCAGCCTCATTATTAATGCCCATTTTGACATTTTGCTATAAAATGAAGCTTAACTAGGCCTTGCACTCTGCTATTTATTAAACCACTCCAGCTGTAAAACAATCAACACACCTGCCCCTTGGGTCCATCTCATATCTTGAAACCCGAATAGGCTGTGGGATTTCCAGTAGTATCTAGTGTTCTTTCTGGGAATTCCCAAGGATTCAAAATCAAGGAACAAGCTTGCCCCAACCACCCACCCAAGAATGTGGGCAGGACCATGTAAAAATGCATTCTTCTAGCAAATTATACACAGGGTCATTATCTGCTTGGTAGCACATGTGTTCTAAAATGTGGGACCACAGGGACTGATATGGGACCCCGTTACATCTTACAAAGTTAAGGAAGGCCACACATCTGAGTGATATTTTTCATGACTCTATCTTTGGCTGAGTTAGCTCTGTTCAATATTCTTTTCTTTATCCTTGTTCTGCACTGTTTATACTGTCTTCATAATCTTTGTTATCTCCTCAAATCTCCTTCAAAATTTTCACATTTGAAGAATTATCTGTACCTTTATCTTTTAAAAATTGTTTTGTTTACACATATTTTTTAGTTGTTGATGGACCATTATTTTACTCGTTTATAGGCGGTGCTGAGAATTGAACCCAGTGCCTCACACATGCTAGGCTAGTGCTCTATCACTGAGCTATAATCCCAGTCATCTCTGTACCCTCCTAAGTAGATTATTTAGCTTCATATTGCAGACAGAAAACTGAGGTGTTCTGCCATGAACTTTGGTTCCTATTTCTTCTCTTTAAAGAAAAATTTATATGCTACATAACTATTTAATCCTTTGGAATCTGACTCTGTATCTTCTACTCCACCAAAGCTACTTTGGAAAAAGTCATTAATAGTCCTGGGCTTCTAAAAAGTTAATTCTAGGTGCCTAAAGTACTATTTTCTGCCCTACTTTCCTGGATTTCCTGTTAGAATTCCAAGTTTGGTCTCATCAGGGAAGACTTCCCTACCTGGAGCTGCTGAATGTCCCTGGCAACCTACTTGCATAGCATCCGGTGAAACCACTCGCATAATACACATCAATCGTGTGATTACCATTCAGTGGTAATGGTAATCCTGCTCCCATGAAATATCTATGTGAACATCTTGTAGACGGCAGTCTCAACCCTAGCCCCGTGCCTGCAGTAGAAATGAACTGAGCGAAAGAAATCTATTTTTACAATTGGAAAAGTTACCATGTTCCTACCTCTCAGGGACAGCGTGATGATTAATAAGCATTTGATAACATTGACATGCCATCAAAGTACTGAATGACAAAGATGAGAGTTTTCCAAGTGTAATGAGACCAGAGTAGGTCAAACATTTCATATACATTACAAACATGTCAGGAGGCAGAGAACATAGTGTTGAAAAGCTTGGGCTCCCTGAGTTCTGTAACTGTGTGACTATAGACAGATTCCTTAACCTCTATGAGTCTTTTCCCTTATTTGTAAAAGGGAGAAAATAATATTACATATCTCATAACTTGTGAATTTATCTAAGATGTATAAAGTGTTCAGAGTATTGCCTGACACATGGTATACATTTAGTGTTAGCTATTATTATTAATAATCATGAAGATGATGAATTATTATTAATCATGAACATTATGAAAAGATTGTATTAGCATGAGCCCATCTTAGGCCCACCTGGTTATAACTCGTAGATAATCTCTGTATTAAGGACAGAACAAAAGAATACAGATGTAATAAGAATAGGCCTTCACTGGGCATGGTGGCACACATCTGTAGTTCCAGTAACTCTGGAGGTGGAGGCAGGAGGATTGCAAGTTCAAGTCTAGCCTCAGCAACTTAGCAATATCTTCAGCAACTTAGTGACACCCCATTTGAAAATAAAAAGAGTTGGAGGTAAGTTCAGTGATAAGTGCTCTGGGTTCAATTCCCAGTACCAATAAATAAATAGATGAAAGGAAGGAAGGAAGGAAGGAAGGAAGGAAGGAAGGAAGGAAGGAAGGAAGGAAGGAAGAAAGGACTTCCAAGAAATAATTGTTGACTCACAGTCACTGCCAATATCCTTAGCACCTAGAATAGTTCCTGGTTTACAGGTGTGATCAATAAAACACTTAATGAGTTCAATGAATTGTTGACACTGAATTTTCCTCTGATATTTTTGTGGCACTCAGTGTTTAAATCAAGTTTCAGAACATTTGATATATTTAAAATTTGAGCATAATTTGAGAGTCAAAATATTTCTTGGAATTTGGATATCACTTTTAAATGGGTTTATTATTGTCTAGACATGAAATTCATAGCATACCAACAACCAGCACTTTTTTAAAAGGGTAATGAGGAGAAGATCTTTGTTGTAATTACCTCTACTCTGTGGTTATTTGAGCAGACAATAGCTGGTTTTTAGTAAACTATACTGGTTCTTAGAGAAATAAGCTTTGTACTTGAAGTTTAAGTATACAGTATTCCATTACAGTGCACATGGATTCTTAGAAGAATTCTCATATGCTTTCAGAGTTGAACCCAAAAGAAATATAAGTTCTGAGTTTATTTAATTTTCTCACGATAACTGCAGCTCCGTTCATTTTGTGGATTTACAAAATGACTGGCTATTGTGGTCAAATCTGTAATTTTAAAGATATAGAATTTGGAGCCCCAAGGGTGTTCCACAAGCCTCTTTCAATTCTGTGCTATAAGTCAAGTCATTTCAACAGTGTTCAGGTTACCGTGAGAGATGCTGTGCACATACAGAGATGGTAAGGACGAAGCCCTGCACCAGAGAAATGCAGTGATGCTGCAGATATCTAGATCTGCACTACAGAGTGGAAAGCTGAATGTATGTGGGTGATGTACAGATTGCTTTAAGAATTCAAAGGTATATGTGTGTGTGTGAGTGTGAAAGAGAGAAAGAGATTGCAATTTTTTAAAAAAAGGTTTTTTTTGTAGTTGTAGATGGATAGCATGTCTTTATTTTATGTATTTTTTAAAAATGTGATCCTGAGGATTGAATCCAGTGCCTCATACATGCTAGGCAAGTGCTCTGCCACTGAACTATGGCCCCAGCCCCAGAGATTGCAATTTTAAAATTATGTGTCTCAAGAAAGATTTTGTGAAGGTGAAATTAGGGTGGCATTTAAATGTTGAGACTTGAAGCAGAATTTCAATAAACAGGTGTGAAATCAGGAAGAGGGAGCAGCCACAGCCACTGCCATGGAGGAGAGAGAAAAGAGGATAAGTTTGAAGAGCCACACATGACCCTGTCTGGTAGACACTGAATATGTATAAGTGGATGACAAACAGGAGCCAGTGCTGGGATAGAGTGAAGTTAGATGGGAAGGTCTGCCCAATTCAGAAACCAAACCTTACATTTCAATTGATATCTTTTATTATTTAGTTATTTATTTTTGTGTTACTGGGGATTGAACCCAGGGCTTCACACATGCTCTCTAAGCACTCTAGCAACTTAGCTACATACCCAGACCTTTTTGAATTCTGTTTGGAATCAAAGTCCCACTAAACTGCTGAGGCTGGCTTTATACTTGCTGTCCTTTGCCTCAGTCTCCCGAGTCATTTGGATTATAGGCCTGGGCCACTGTGCCTGGAATTGCTGTCTTTTATATATGACTAAAAAGAAGCTCTAATGTCATTATAACTTGTTTACCTATTTACAAAGCCTCCTGAAAAGTGGAGAAGGTGACAAAGTTGTCTCAATGATTACACAAAATTACCCATAAACTGGAAAGAGGGAGGTAGGGGGGCGCAGTACCAGGGATTGAACTCAACTCAGGGTTCCTTCACCACTGAGCCACATCCCCAGCCCTATTTTCTATTTTATTTAGAGATAGGCTCTCACTGAATTGCTTAGCACCTTGCTTTTGCTGAGGCTGGCTTTGAACTTGCCATCCTCCTGTCTCAGCTAAATCTGTTTTTTAATGCGTCTTTTACATATTACTTTTAGTAAGTAATAACTGGGACTTTGCCTTGGGGATTGGGAGCAAGTGATATTTATAATCTATGTCTTCTGATGGTCTGAGTTTTGCAGACATTAATAAGGGAATCTCTGGGTGTCCTACAACCAGCTCTGAGGGCTATACCTATGTCTAATTTGTCATGAGCAAGGATGCTGTTGAGGGATGAGTAGGGTTTGCCTGAGCCCCAGCAGAGTTCCCCAGACCAGGGCACAGGAGGGGGTGAAGCATCTGCTTGACTCCATTTTCTCCTTCCGGAACAGCAACTACGATGAACTGCATGTGGGGGAAAAATGCTAAATTTAGGGCCTCCAGGATCTCTTCCTCCTTCCTTTCCCCTTTTTCTTTCTTCCCTCTCCTTCCCTTACGGGTGTGTGTACACACCAATTATAAGGCTCAGGTCACCTGGATATTTGGTAGTGGGGAAAAGGAGAGAGAATTGAAACAGTGGAGAAATTAATCTCAAATAATCCTAAAACTTGTATTAACCTCGAGAGCACCAAGACACAGATCATTAGATATGATTAATTTAAGCAATTAACAGAGACTGAACACCAGCCTTGTACAAATTACTGCACAGCTAGAGATGGAGAGCAGAGGACCGCACTGCAATTCAAGGTAGAAATTGTTAGCTTCATGACAATAACGAGTGCTTGTGCAGTTTTTAGTGTGAAGAGCTTTTCACATACAAGCTCACCTGGTCCTTTCAACCCCCATAGCAATGCATGTTATTAAGACAGTCAATTCACATCGAAGGAGTCTGATGCTCAGAGAGGTTACGAGTATCAAAGTCACAGAGCTAGAGCTGAGATTAGGATCCAAGTCTTCAGATGATAAAATATATCATTCTCTTTAAGCACACAGGCTGATGGAAGCAGATATAAACGTTTTCAGCTTATGGGAATGTGTAATCACAGAGCCAGTTTTATCTTTTCAGATAGCTTATTAATTAATGGGCCAACAGGAGAATAAAACCCAAACCCTTACCTTCTGCCACAGCTACTACCAACCAGCAGACCAGTGACCAGGAGGAGAAGCAGGGTCTGTGAGCCATGGTTTCTACCTTGAACTCTCACTGCCTCCAACCCCAATGTTGCTTTAAATGGGAGTTGGTGAGTCACCAGCAGCCTGATTCAGGTAATTTGCATTTGCATAGTGGACCACAGCTATCTGGGCCTGTGGTGTGAGGGCAACAAATCCGTAAGGACATACCAGACAGTATGTATCAACTAGAAGTGTCTTATTATGACAGCCAAGCATCATTCATCATGCCTTGATTTTGGACAACCACATCCTTGCTATCCTTTTAATCCCTCAAATCTACTCCCACGGTGGTGCCTTCTCTTTACCGGCAGCGTGTATGAGTCTTCCTCTGCAGGAGAAGGGAGCTGTCTAGGCAATGCTCAACACTGCTTTCCACTCTGGAGCTGACTGAGGGCGGAGGGCACTGTCCTGGGGCTTCCTGACCCAGTGGGATGGGGGTGTTAAGAAGCTCCTCTTGTTTCTGACCAGAGTTTATGATCCTTCTCTGCTTTTGTCCAGGATGCAAGGGCAGCAGAGTCAGAAAACTATCTATCTTCCCTTGTCTCCATCACAGTCTCTGTTTAAATAACATAAAAGCCTGGGAGCATAACTTAGTAAGCTGTCCTTTCAGGTTTCCCTCTAATTCACCAAAATGCCTACAACATGGACATGGTGTACCTATACCTGGTTGATTTCCTGAGAAGACTGTCAGCTGATGGGGGAATGGGAGGTGGTGCTCACGAGTGATTAAGAATCTGGACCTCAGAGTTAGAAAAACTCCAATCTTGACTCCTTTTCTTACTAGTGGAGTTGCAGTGGTGAGTCCCTGAGGCCTTAGGTGCCTGATCTGTAAAGTGGGGTTTGCAATACTGTGTCAGTTTTCGTTGCTGTAACAAAATACCTGAGAATCAACTTTATAAGAAGTAGAAGTTTATTTTGGTTCACAGTTTGGGAAGCTCCATTGCTTTGGTTAGTTGGCTCCATTGCTTTGGGCCTTGGGGTGAGGCAGGGAGTGTGTGATGGAGCAAAACTGGTCACCACAAGATATAGGGGAAGCAAAAAGGGAGAGAAAGAGGGCCGGGGTTCTAGTATATCACTTGCATCCCTCAGTGATCATTCTTCTATTACTATCTTCCCCAAAAGTTCTACCACCTTCCAATAGTGCCATAGGCTGGTGACCAAACCTTTAACACATGGGCCTTTGGGAGACATTCAGGATTCAAACTATGGCAAGTGCTTCCTTAGAGGAGTGTGAATAAAGGGGATATTTGACATAAAGCTTCAACAACAGAGGCAGGCCTGTGAAAGGAGGGAGTGTTTGTGGTGGTTATCAAATTATAATAACCCTAATTTATAATTAATTTTTAGGAGGTTATACTTGCCAAATCATCCAGTCACTCAAATGACCTCCACTTTGAGCAGAGCATGTCCCAGCACATTGTAGAAAAAGCAAAATTAAATATACTTCCCAGCTTTGAAGGGCAGTGTAAGAAATCTGCAAGGATAATCTAATGAGGTACCAATCATTCCATCATTCAATCAGAATAAATTAGAAGGCAAACACTCACAATAAGGAAGTGATGAATTCCTCAGGCAAAGTTCTAGAATGGATAATTTTTTTGTTATTTTGGATTTTTTGTTGTTGTTGTTGTTTTTGAGTTTTATCTTTTTTTCCCCTCTATATGCTATCCTGGGTGATCTCTAACTCCTGGGATCAAGTGATCCTTCCTCCTTAGCCTCCCAAGTTGCTGGGATGATTGGCCGGTGGTGCCACACCTGGTTAGATCAGATAATTAAGTGATAACTTGTCAGCAGTTAGAAATGGAATCACAAAACATCCAGGACAGGCTCAGTTCATTGGATCAACCCGCTTCAGGACTCTTTATTGACTCTGTTTATTCAAAGGCCAGACACGGGTCAAGGGGTGGGGGCTTACATTAGTGTTCCTTCCAGTCTGGCAGGCACATTAGATATTAACCCAGGAGTAACATGAAGAGTTTTGAGTGTTATGAGAGAAGAAGTATGCCAGCTATAGGAGCATGAAGCACAGAAACATCATCTGTAATTTTACAACTGTGAGTGTATTATATGGTCTGTCTGGTCCCCTGAGCTGGAGACATATTGCTATGCCAGTAAAACTAGATCCCGCCTAATTACTTACCTACTGCACAGTGTTTCGTTTTATAGGTCCGTGGTAATTTATTTAGCCAACCTTTTACTTGACAGACATTTGTATTATTTCTTTTGAAGTTTTTTCTTTTCTTTTTCTTTTTTTTTGTGATACTGGAGATTAAACCCAGGGATACTCTACCACTGAACTTCATCCCCAGACCTTTATTTATTTATTTATTTTTTGTTTTGAGACAGTCTTGCTAAGTTGCTGAGGCTGGCCTCCAACTTTTTACCCTCCTATCAGTCTCCTGAGTCACTGGGTTTGTGCCATCACTCCTAGTTTGTTTGTTTGTTTCTTTCTTTTTTTCCTCTCTAACAAAAACAAAGTAACATATTTTCTATTTGCCACTATTATTCTGAAATTTATAAAACAAAGGAACAAAATCTTTAAGGCACAAAATTCATTAGTGCATTTATATTCTTATTTAAATAACTCATTTGTTTTATGTCCTCTGGCTTAACCTGTGAGGAACAGCTCTTTTTTGTCAGTACAATTTAGAAAGTCCTTGGGAAGAACTCTGGTTGGCCAAGCTGGGTCATGTGGTTGGGTATGGGGGAGGGATGAGTTATTACAAGGAGGATTAGGAAATGGTAGCAGTGACTCTGTCACAGGTTCTGTTAGTTTGTGTGTAGTATACCTATGCTGTCATGTGACCTCCCTGCACAAATAATCAATCTGCAGTATGTGTTTGTTACCCAGAACGCCTTTCAACAGGAATAAAACAATCCATGTTGTGAAAAATAAAAAAAAGAGCACTTTTTATTATTTGCTGCTTGGGGTTGCAATAAACATAGCAATACCTATGATGCTATTTTATGAGGGAGGATACCAGGAAATAGTTGTTGGTGACTGAAGGGTCTTCTGATTTAGACAGATTTGGCAGGATAACTTGTTCTAAACAAATGTCAAGATGAGATT